GGGAAAGGATTGAGTTCAACTTTCTGAGTTTTCAGTCAGAGGTATAGATGTCAGTAATTTGGATACTTTTAAGAAGGCTTCACATTTACTACTTTCTGAGGACTTGAGATTTGCAGGATGGTGCAGAAATGGATCGATTTTAAATTCTGTGGATCTTCGAACATTCTCCTTTAACGAAGTATTTGCAGGAAAGGACAGGGTTCCAGTAAATTGCTGGACCTCATGCCTGGAGCTCACCTGCCAGGGTTTTCTGACTGCCTGAGAGGCAGTTTCTGTTTGAACTGTGCTTAGGAGGCAGTTCGAGTTGGCGTCCAGTTTGACGAAGGACAAAAACTTCCCAGCTCAGCGCTCATGTTTCTAACAGAAATTGTTTGCTGCGCGCCTAGTGTGGTTCCTGGAAAACTGATTGAGTGGCTCTCATCAGAAACCTCTGAGGCAGTTTGTCTGGATTGTTCCAAAACAACAGCATTTACAAAAATACGAGAACAACACCACATCCTTTTTTGCTTTCAAGAACCAAATCATTATTGGCCAGACATGTTTGTCTCCAAAGTGGTTTTTTGCAGTGTGTGTGTGGGAACCAGAAGAGTAGGGCAGCAGATGTAGAAATTGAGGGAGAGGTAGGAACCAAGGCAAACATTACCAAAATCAGACAGGGAAGTACTGTTAAAAAGAACAAGGGAGATGGTCTGAAATGCACGTGTTTCAATGCAGGAAGTATTATAGGCAAGGCAGATGAACTCAGAGCATTGGTTAGTACTTGGAACGATGACATTATGGCAATTATGGAGACTTGACTGAAAGAAGGACAGGACTGGCAGCCGAATGTCCCAGGATTTAGATGGTTCAGGTGTGATAGAAAGGGATGTAAAAGGGGTGGGGGAGTTGTATTACTGGTAAAGGAGTATCTCACAGCTGTACTGAGGGAGGATACATCACAGGACTCATGCAGTGAGGCAGTATGGGTAGAACTCAGGAACAGGAAAGGTGAAATCACAATGTTGGGGGTATACTACAGAGCTCCCAACAGCCAGTGGGAGATAGAGGAGAGAATATGTAGACAGGTTTTAGAAGGATGTAAAAACAGCAGGGTTGTTGTGGCGGGTGATTGTAACTTCTCCCTGTATTGACTGGAACTCACTTTGTTCCAGGGGCTTGGATGGAGCAGAACAACTTCCTGACACAGTATGCAAACATTCCAACCAGGGAGGGGGTTGTACTGGATCCAATTTTGGGAAATGAGCCTGGCCAGGTGAATGAAGTTTCAGTGGGGGAACATTTTGGGATAAGAGACCATAACACCGTGAGTTTTAAGTTACTCATGGATAGGGATAGCAGCAGTCCTTGGGTGAAGGTGTTAAACTGGGGAAGGCGAACTACAACAATATTAGGCAGGAATGGACAGTGTTGATTGGAGGAGGCTGTTTGAGGGTAGATCCACATCGGACATGCGGGAGCATTTCAAACAGTAGTTGATAAGAGTTCAGGAGCGGCATGTTCCTGTGAGAATGAAGGATAGTTATGGCAAGTTCGATGACCAGGAATGTTATGACCTTGGTCAAAAAGAAAAAGGAAGCATACGTACGGTCTAAAAGGATGGGAACTGATGAAGCCCTTGAAGTATATAAGGAAAGTAGGAAAGAACTTAAGCAAGGAATTAGAAGGGCTAAAAGGGCTCATGAAAAGTCGTTAGCAAACAGGATTAAGGAGAATCATAAGGCTTTTTATACATGGATAAAAAGCAAGTGTGTAACCAGGGAAAGGTTTGGCTCACTCAAGGACAAAGGACGGAGTCTATGTGTGGAGCTAGGAGAAGTAGGTGACATCCTAAACAAATACTTTATTTTGGTATTAACCAGAGAGAAGGAATTGGCAGAGGATGATCTCAGGGAAGAGAGTGCTGAATTTCAATGCCAAGTTGCTATTAAAAAGCAAGTGGTGTTATGCATCTTAAAAAGTGTTCAGGTAAATAGTTCCCCGGGTCCTGACGGGGTCTATCCCAGAATATTGGGGGTGGCAAGAGAACAAATTGTTGGAACACTAACAGACATCTTTGTATCCTCATTGGCCACAGGTGAGGTCCCAGAGGACTGGAGAGTAGCCAATTTTGTCCCATTGTTTAAGAAGGGTAGCAGGGATAATCCAGGAAATTACAAACCTGAGAGACTCATGTCAGTGATAGGGAAATTATTGGAAAAGATTCTCAGAGACAAGATCTATATGTATTTAGTAGCGAATGGATTTACTGGTGATACACAGCATGGGTTTGTGCAGGGGAGGTCATGCTTCGCTAACTTGACTGAGTTTTTTGAGGAGGTGACGAAGATGATTGATGAGGAAAAGCTGTTAATGTTGTCTCCATGGACTTCAGTAAAGCCTTTGACAGGTCTCTCATGGCAGATTGGTACAAAAGGTGAAGTCACATGGTATCAGGGGTGAGCTGGCCAATGAATATAGGACTAGCTTAGTCACAGGAGACAGAGGGTAGCAGTGGAGGAATGCTTTTCAGAATGGAGGGCTGTGACTCATGGTGTTCCACAGGGATCAGTGCTGGGACCTCTGTTGTTCGTGGTCGATATAAATGACTTGGAGGAAAACGTAGCTGGTCTAATTAGTAAATTTGTGGATCATACAAAGATTAGTGGAGTTACGATAGTGAGGAGGATTGTCAGTGGATACAGCAGGATATAGATCAGTTGGAGGCATGGGCAGAAGAATGGCAAATGGGGTTTAATCTGGACAAATGTGAGGTGATGCATTTGGAAGGTCAAGTGCAGGTAGAAATTATACAGTGAATGGCAGAACCTATAGGAGTATTGATGTGCAGAGGGATCTGGGTGTGCAGGTCCACAGCTCACTGAAGGTGGCAGCGCAGGTAGATAAGGTAGTAAAAAAAGGCCTATGGCATGCTTGCCTTCATTGGAAGGGGCATTGAGTATAAGGAGAGACAAGTTAAGCTGCAACTTTGAGGATCTTTAGTTAGGCCGCGCTTGGAATATTGCGTACAGTTCTGGTCACCACACTACCAGAAGGATGTGGGTGCTTTGGACAGGGTACAGAAAATGTTTACCAGGATGTTGCCTGTTCTGGGGGTTTGTAGCTATGAAGAAAGGTTGGATTGTCTGCGTTTGTTTTCACTGGAACGCAGGAGGTTCAGGGGCAACCTGATAGAAGTTTATAAGATTGTGAATGGCGTTGATAGAGTAGAAAGTGTGAGGCTTTTTCCCAGGGTGGAGGAGTCAATTACTAAGGGACACAGGTTCAAGGTGCGGGGGGGACGTTTAAAAGAGATGTGCGAGGCATGTTTTTCACACAAAGGGTCATGAATGCCTGGAACACCCTGCCAGAGGAGTTGTTGGAAGCAGGCATAATAGCAGCATTCATGAAGCACCTGGACAAATGCGCGAATAGAAAGGGAATAGAGGGATAGGGATCCTGTAAGTGAAGACAGTTTTCATATGGAAGGGCAAAATGTGTCGGCACAGGATTGGAGGGCCGAAGGGCCTGTTGCTGTGCTGTCTTGTTCTTTGTTTTGTATGTGTGTTTGTGTGTTTGTGTGTGTGTGTGTGTGTGTGTGTGTGTGTGTGTGTGTGTTTGTGTGTGAGTAAAGCACTAATGTTGTGACCAATGGAGCAGTGGGACCACAAGGAGGCAGTACAGCCCTCCAATGTTGGTTGTGAGAGTACGAGGTTATCCCCAATTCGCCACTCATCGCAGGCCTGGCTTCAGGGAGCACAAGCATGTATACAGCAATGTGGGCTGCAAGCACACAAAAGCCTCAAACGTGCAAGAAACTAATACTTCCTTCCCATCAAATAGAGATCACAACTTTTGAGTGCTTCGGAATTTTGATGCCATGGTTCTTGCTGCCCCTTCCTCTTGTTGGGAAAAGGAAAGCATACTTCCATATCTTGCTGAGGATACTCAGTTTTCTTTGTCAGTGGCACACAGGCAGAGAGTTGTTTAGCTAGTGACTTGCTCAGGTAGAGCTCTCACAGGCAAATTTATAAAAGAATATAACATAGATCTATAATGGTTTAAAAACCTTATTTTGTGCTGTTAGCCTTTTGTCATCTTTGATGACACTTATTCGGTTTTAAAATTCCAAACCCCCCTTTATCATGGAGCCTAGTTATTATACTGACATCCTCCCACCTGTTGTGGCACAGCGGCTCCTCAGTTTTGTCTCTCCACAGCTGGTACTGCAGGCAAACTTTCCCCGACGTTCCCATCATCTCAATGTCTCCTCTTCACAGACTGCCTGATGTCTTATTATATCAATAAGCTACAATTTATGACTTCTTAAAAATGGGACCAATACGCCGAATTCAAATTGCCCCAAAATGTCTCCCCACACACCCAACTACCAAACACCATTTCACACGATTACACCTGACTCCCAGCAGGTGCAGGAGTGTGATGTATGTCAGCTGGGGACCACTAAGCATGTCTGGTTTAGTCTAATCCCTCCGTATCTGTGTCAAATATCTCCAAAGTCAGGGGGTGGAAGCATCAGACAAGAGGGAGTTATCGGAGGGGAACTTGAAGGGACAGTAGAGAGTGAAGCACGTTGGGGAAGTGATGTGACCTGGGAGGATGGTGGATGAGGCGGGGGATGGAACAAAGACTGGAATAAATGATATCCCTCAATAATGAGGCCAAGCCCCAATCTCAGATGATAACCAGATCCTTCCATCAACCCAATGTTGTGGTTGTAAGGTCACAGAGACACAGAAAGAGGCCACCTGGTCCAATGTGACATTCCCAATTCTCACAATAGCCATCCATTCTGGCCCTTTTAACAAGACTAACCACTCATGTCGATGTTTCCACCACAGACTCTCATCATGTAAAAGCTGGATACAAACTATTTGAATTGGCTTGACACCAAAAACAGAAAGGAGGTGGATCTCAGCAGTGAGAAGCATTCTCCCTTCTACATCAGAAGGTGTGTTTGAACTCTCCCACCAAAGGTGTAAGATCGAGAATGCCAGACTCTGTGCTGTATTGAGGGAGTGCTGCATTCTCAGAGAAGGTACCTTTTAGAGACCTCATAGTGCAGAAAAAGCCCTTTGGCCCATTAAGTCTTCAACAACATAACTACCACTAAAAGTGCGTTAATCCCAATTTCCTGCACTTGTCCCATATCTTTCACTGTTATGATATTTGAAGTACCCATCCAAATTTTTTAAAAGTGTGTGAGGTTTTCAGCCTCCACTACCTTCCCAGGCAATGCATTCCAGATTCCCACCACCCGCTGAGTGAAAATGTTTTTTCCCAAATCCCCTCCAAATCCACTGCCCCTTGCCTTAAAATGATGCCCTCTCATGATTGACCCCTCAACCGAGGGGAATAGTTGCTCTGTATCCACCCTGTCCATACTCCTCAATCTTATACATCTCAATCATGTCCCCCCCTCAGTCTTTTCTGCTCTAAAGAAAACAATTCAAGCCTATCTGGTCTCTCCTTTTAGCTCAATTTCTCCATCCCAGGCAACATCCTGATGAACCTCCTCTGTACCCCCTCTAGTGCTATCACATCCTTCCCGTAGAAAGGTGACCAGAATTTGGATGAGACTTTAAATGGAGCCTGACCCCTCTCAGGCAGACACTCCATGCTCCTATGTTAAAGAGGAGCAGGAGTTTCTCCCTCAGTCATCATCACTAAAGGAGATTTTCTACTCATTATCACACTGCTAGTATGTAGGAGCTCGCTCTGCATGAACTTTCTTTTTAAATGTAGGAATCCAGGGTGAACCAGATATTGCATTTCAAAAGTATGCCAGTGGCTGTCAAGGTCTCTAACTTGGTCGGAGGTCATGGACGGGGGTTATTTCATGCAAACCCTTTACTTTAGACACGTGCTCAGGTTTAAGGAATGGGAGTACAGTGTGCCCATACAGCGCCCATCTCACTACACCCTAACATCGTTAAAGAGCGGCGAATATCCCACTTACTTGCCATTGTCTTCGTCCAGATTGTCAGTGCTCAGGTTACAGCGTCTCGGGGTTGGTGGCTCCACGTCAACGCTGGACGAGTCGCTATGCCAACCTGGAACTGCAAAAAATTCGTTCTGGGAATTCTGAGCATGGGGTAGATTCTGGTCTTCTTCTTTTGTCACCTCCTCGTCATCTGAACCTTCACCCGGCTGAACAACGTCCAGGCCTTTTGGTTTGAACTTTGCGAGCTCCTCAGAGTCACTCCGTTCCTCTTGCTGAACTTGGCTGGAAGATGCCTCTTGTCTGGCCGTGATTCCGTCCTCTGGGGACCGATTGTGGTCCTCCTGCTGCGTTTTACTGCAAGGTCGAGCAATGCAGAGGGTGCTGGTCTCTGTGATCGCAAGCCCAGTCTCATGCTCGCTGCCCACCATCTCATTCACCTGCCCCTGCTGTGAAGTGACCCCTTCGCCCATCACCTGGCATGGCACAGAGCGATCAGTGCCAATGTCATCCAGTGATGTGTCCTCGGCCTTTATGAAAGGTGCAGCTGCTTTTGGAGACAGGACTGGTTCGTGGGGAGTTGTGGGGGACAATCCTACGCTAGAAAAATTACTAAAATAATCGTCACATCGGAGAGGGGTGGGTAGCTCATAGCGCAATCCAGCGGGGGTCAGCAGCTCCTTTTGAGTGGATGGGTAACCTGAGTGGGTGAAAAACAATGGCACAAGCTACACACAACATGCACAAACACATAACAGGCAATGGTATCACACTGAATGTAGCCGGGGAAATGGTTCTATGATCCACAGAGTGGATTGACTGATAAGGGACTAATACAAAATACGTACACTCTCATGAAACGGTTTCATTGCAATCAACCATTCTACTCTTCCAAATTGGTTTCTTTGCAAAGGAGTCCCAGTACGGGAGACTTCATTTTATACGATAATTGATCCAAACTGGCAGTGCGATTACTGGAGACAAATATCATGGCAGGCAACTTCAAGAGGACTTAGAAATAATTGGACGCTCTCTACTTATCAATGGATGAGAGGCCATGTTAATTGGGATTTCCTGTCTCTGTGCAATGCAGTGAAAGGACGGTCATTATCTTGTAATATTCCATGACATAAAGTATCTTAACCCTGAGTTGTAAGACCCCTTCCACATGCTGTCCTTTACCAGCTCAGCTTCCTAGAACGTACAATCATTACTGAATTGCTCATAACATTAATTGTTAATAAAATTAGCTTTTTTTTTATATCCTCAAAGCTCAGCTACCCAAATAAATCAATCTGAAGAAGACTGGTGCATGTTCTTCGGGATTAAATGTCTGAGATTTGTCCTGGTGGTGATCTTTTTATTATTTATGAGTTATCAGTACAATAATCGTAAGTAAATGAATATGGCCAATGAAATGTAAAGCCAGTAGCCAATGTCAAGGAGTGGGGGAAACAATGTGGAAAGTGCAGTATAGAATTGCGTTCAGGTTGTTAAAAATAAAGGAGCTGCGTACTGAATTATTTTATTAAAGGCTTCAGCTATCAAGCCAGTTAACCTGGCATCTCTAGCTTTTAAGAATGGAAGACATTGGTGCACACATATTGATTAATTGGATTGGACAGAGTGACTGAGAAAAGACAGAGTCTTTAGTTCAAGGGCAGCTGCTGGAAATATTCTGCCCCTTCTGCAGTTGACTTGGGGCAAGAGGAGCAGCAAAGGGGTAACAGGGCGGCAGTGTTGTGAGGCAACCCAGTACCCCGCTCCCCACGTCCCTCTCTACAACCATTCCCTTGGTAACGAGGGGAAGGACGTAGCTGTGGATCCTGATGTTTGCAGTGCGATCTCCTCTCACCAATCCATGTCTCAGGCGTTTGCCAAGTGGCCAGCTTGGTTCAGGCTGGCGCTGTTGACAGCTGGAGTGGCATCAAGGCCCTCCAATGCCACTCAGCTGTGCCCATATTGTGCCCGGCTGATCACGTTTCTCCGCACGCTTGGTGCCCCGTGTGGAAAGGAGCGTGGCCCTGAGCCACGCTTAGATGCAGGCGTGTCCTCTGGGAGTCCGCAAAGTAGGTCAATGGTGAAGAGTTTGCACTGGTTGAGCAGACTGCAATGGTAGGCAGTAACAGCAGCTTTGGGTCAAGGAGGTGACCATGGGGCGAGGGCTGCAGGTTTGGGTCCCAGCTCAGGATTTGACAGTCATAGCAGGTAGATTGATAAGGAAGCCAATCAGGTAAATCCTACCGATGGCAGATAGCAAGTGTGGCAGAGTTTCGTGGTGAGCCAGAACGGAGTACTAACTGCAGGCTCCCTGCACACACAGGCTCTCGCCGGGGGCTGTAATCCTCCTCACTTCGAGGGGCTACTAGAAATAAATAACATTCTGAGAACAGCTAAACTTTTAAGGGTGAGAAAGGGAAGTTTTATTCTGACGCAGCCGGAGGAAACCGATGGGTGCTGAAGCACCTCTCCACAACCTAGTCTCTTTCCTGCTCTCCACTGTCACTGTTTGGTCACCTGATGACATGACCTCAGGATCGGTGTGTACACCTCAGGATATGCTACTTCATTCACATTCCACGCTGCCAGCCATGCTTTCACTGTCTGTGCACAATGTTCTGGAGTTCCTTCTCTAAACCTTTCCAACTCTCTCTCTCTCCTACCCTTTAAGACCTGCCTCAACACTCTCCATCTTGGATCACCTTCTTAATCACCCATCCCAAGAACATCTCTGCCCCAGTGCCAATTTTTGCTTGATGACGTTGCTTGAAATATCTGAGGACATTTCTGTTTGTTGTTAAAGGTGCTAAGTTGTCATACAGTCATACAGCACAGAAACAGAAACTTTGGTCCAACTCGTCCATGCTTACCAAGTTTCCCAAACGAAGCTAGTTCTATTTGCCTGCATTTGGCCTATATCCCTCTACACCTTTCCTATTCATGTACCTGTCCAAAGGTTTTTTAAACTGTTGTAACTGTACCTGCAACTAACACCTCCTCTGGTAGGTCATTCCACATACAAACCACCCTCTGTGTGAAAGGGTGCCCCTCAGGTCCCTTTTAAATCTTTCTCCTCTCACCTTAAAATTGTGCCTTCTAGTTGTGAACTCGCCTACCCTAGGGAAAAGAACTTTATTATTGACCTTATCTATGCCCCTCATGATTTTATAAACCTGTATTAGGTCACCCCTCAAAGTCTTACACTTAAGTGAAAAAAGTACCAGCCTATCCAGCCTCTCCTTATAACTCAAACCCTCCATTCCTGGCAACATCCTGGTAA